GAAGTAAGTCCCAATGTATGTAGAAACAACATGCTACCATGCTGCTACTTTGTGTGGGTATGGGAGGGCAAGGGAATTCAGAGTGGCCTGTAAGTGCACTCCAAGCATGAAGACAGCTACTGTGCACATCACACAGAAGACAGCGAGAGGTAAACGGGCAGCCAGGATGATCTGCGAAAGAGTGCAGATGGCGGCACATAAATTTATCCTAACCACTCTCTTCTGTCACCACCTTTACAAAGCATGTTGATGGGTGGTGGTTGGTCAAGGGGACACCTGGAGAGTGGAGAGGCTTTCTGTAGGAGGCCTGGATTCTAACAGACACGCTCGACACCAATGGGAACAGACTGGAGCATCCTTATAACACCTGCATCTGAGCTCAAAAAATGGAGGTATGGGACATGCTGACCTCTTCTGGGCACTTCGGGCTTACCCCACCTTAGGGATAACCCCTATGTCATCAGGGCGGCTTTTAGGAAACACAACAAACCATGGTTTCAGCATTATTGAGCTGTGGCAAAATTCAAATATGCCATGTTTTATTCTCTTAAATGTGATCTTTTCCTCTCCTGTGTGATGGGACAGGGGGACCCCTAATGAGAGGACATGAGGGGAAGACTTTTCCAAACTGCTACTTCTATATAAGATGCAAATTCGTACCAGAGCTTCTGTAAGGATGCATTCATTTACAGTAGCAAATCTTGCTCTCACTTTAAATATAAATTTCATTAGTTCTTTAAGAATTTCATACGTGAATGACGTGGCGATCTGAATGAGAATGGCCCTCATAGGCTCATGTATTTGAATGCTTCACCCCCAGTTTGGTGAACTCTGAGACAGATTAGAAGGATTAGAAGATGTGGCATGTTGGAGGAAATATGTCACTAGGGGCGGGCTTTGAGGTTTCAAAAGCACACGCCAGGCCCAGTATCTCTGCCTGCCGCCTATGGATCAGGATGTAGTTCTCAGCCCCATGCCTGCCTCCTGTCATGCTCCCTCAGCATAATGGAAATGGAATAACCCTAAGAATCTATAAGCAAACCCCGAGTCAAACGCTTTCTTTTCTAAGAGTTGCCTTGGTCATGGCATCTCTTCACAGCTATAGACCAGTAACTAACACACATCCCATGTGTTTTGATCATATTCCTTCTCAGTCCTCCCCCTAACTCCTTCCAGGTGATTCCTTCACTCGCACCTACACCCCCTCCTTTTTAGGTACTGGGGGTGGAACCCAACCCAACACTCTACGCATGCTGGGCAAGTGCTCCATACTGAACTACATTCCATTAACGCGTCCATGATGTGTCTGTGTGCATGATGCATGTGTGTACCACGACATGTGTAGTGATGAGAACACTACTTTGAGGAGTTGCTTCTCTCTGACTACCTTCATATGGGTCCTGGGGATTGAACCCAGGTCCCTGGGCCTGAATGGCAAGCACCTTTACCCACTGAACCATCTTGCTTGGCATTGGCAGCCCACCCGAGTAAATTGTAAAAGAAGTAATATACACAGGGTGTCCTGAATGTCTTGGACTTAGAAATAATCAAGTAGTTCTCACTGTAACCTAAAGGTTGCTTTGGGCCTTATATATGCTCTATCTCAATATTAATTCTCATATATATGCTCTATCTCAATATTAATTCTCAGGCTTTAGATCAAGTACCATGTTTCTAGAATAAGTACCCTGTACTTAAAGGTCAGTTTTTGTTGTTGTAAACTTACCTGTTTCAGTTATTTACAGAAACACATGTTTACAGCCAGCACTTGCCTTCTCAGAGGCTCTTGTAACCTCCCGATCAGCTTTTTATGTCTGAAGACTCAATACGCCATTTTTTTTCTACCTGTAGCTGGAGTTCTGAGTTAGCATTAAGTACCCAACTTCCCTCCTTGGAGGAGGCCAACTATTTTGTAGCACAAACATTTGTTATATTAAGTGAACATAGCAAATGCTACAAATCGCACTTCAGTGCTGATTAGATAAATACGTTTCCTCTCTACTCAGAAAAGCATGTTCAGCCAAGACATCCCAAGATGGTACAGATGGGGAGGTCAAACCTGCAGAAGGAGCCCTGCAGCTAAGTCTGGAGTCCTCTGGAAGAACATTTGGAAGTAGCGGGAGGCCTGGGCTCCTGGCCCACAGATAAGAAAACCTCCCCCAGCCAACCTGGAGCCCTTCAAAGACACAAGAGTCTCCCAACTTTCCTAGTATTCCCCTCCTATGCACACAAATTAAAACATCCAACTGCCAAATGCTAGAAATACTAGAAGACAAATGGACAAGAGAGCCATCAGAGGTTGGGGCCATTCTGGTTTCTGTTTTCCAAATTCACTGCTGGCCCCAAGGAGGGATGTCACCACCATCCTGAGCACACAGCAGCTGTTCCCTTTTGGCTAGAGTTCAGGATGAATCTCAGAAGCTCTTGCTAGCTCTCCCTTTAAGTAAAAATCCTTTTGAAAAATTTCACAGTCACTATACTTCTAGCTTAGTGTTTTTGTTATGACTTTTCCTGCAAGACAGGGAAAAATCATTCATTTCAAACAAATTTGTGAGCCCACAAAGTACCTTCAGGCTATTCTCACCAGAGAAGTAAAATTGCCTATCCAGTTGGGCATACTGAAAAGTCAATGGCTAAGACTGAATGACAATCCTCTCCAGTGTATCAAAAGAACAATATCTAGGAAGGAGAGATTTTTTTGCTTTCCCAAACAATCCTGCTACTATAAAGCTACCAGACAAACTTGTACTTATGAAGGAAAAGCAAGACACCTGGAAACTTCCTTGTTCTGAAATTCTGGTCCATTGTCACCATACCACAATGGCTACATTTTACTCATTGTTTAACTGTCCAAGCTAAGGTATGACCTACAGCACCATGTACATATTCAGCACCATGATGTGTTTCCAGTGCCTGGCATCTGCTGGTTTCCCTAGTGTTAGGTCTCAAGCCTGAGACGAATGGCTAACTGAGATGCCTACTAACATATCAGAGGATGCTGGCCACCAGGTTCTTCCAGCATCCCTCTGTTTCTACCTGTTTCAGGGTCTTCCTTGGTTGGCATAGCCTGCTTCTTACCCTGAATTCTTCAGTCCAGGGACTGGGCTGGCTTCCCTTCCCCCGGCTCCTCTGGCCCCTATATAACTCAGTCATTTTGGCTACACCAGTCTCTTGGCCCAGGCTGCCACTCTTGGTCTGGTGCCGAAACCTGGGAGTGGCATAAGTGAGTTCCCATCCCAGGGACTCGACTGCTCTGGCCCAAGCTGCTGCTCTCACTCTGCTAAGGTATGTACGGATCATTTGTTTCTGCTGGCTTTTGCCACCCACCAAGTTTGACTCCAACTTCTCAAGTCCAGTACTTAAGCTGCTGCCTCTCTCTACCTGCTACTCCTCATCCATTCTATTAACTGTCTCCCAGCTCTTAAGCCCTCTACACCCCTACCCCACCCCCAGACACCTGTCTGGGCGCTCTCAGTTCCAGGCTGCTACACCTGCCTGGATATCTATACTTACATGGGTTCATCTTTAAAGACATTTACCCATCTCCCTTTCCCCCAAAGCCTCAGCCTCTCATCTCCCCTAGGAGCTGAAGTCCCACCTGCAGTCCAGCCTAGGGCCACCCGGGACCTTTTCCTTGTCTCCTCCCGCTAGGAGCCTCGGTCCCATAGCTTCTGCCCTCAGCTTCCTTCTCTCAGTTTCCTCTCGAACTCAGAGCTGCCTGCTGTCTCTTCCTCACGCCCTCTTAGGTTTCTCTCTTCTCTCTAGTGCTCTGAGAGCCTGCTCTTGTCTCTCAGCTCCCTCCTCCAGTCTCGAAGCCACCTACACACTCTTTCTCCCCTTTGGAGTTTATAGAAATTCCTTCCAGCAGAGTTCCCGGGGACAGTCTGGAGAATGCCAGACTGGTGAGCTTTCAAAGCTAAAACAGTCCTTCCCCAGGCTAACTCTAATTCCTTGTCATTCCCACACACAGGTCTGTATATCCAGAAGAAACCATGGTCAATTGGAAAACTCTGGAACCTACTGGAAAGTCAATAATCTTTCTAGGAAAATTAGATTTGGTTTCCGAAGCCAAAGGAGACAGTGGGCGTGCTGTAATCCCAGGACTCAGTAGACAGAGGCTAGAAGGTGTTGTGGCCAGCCTGAGTTACATGGCAACCCTGCTTCAGAAAATAAGGCCAAACCAAAGTGTCTTTGAGTCTACACGTGTGGGGATCTCCTCCCCTCTCTCATGCTTACCTTTGTGTTTGCTTCCTAACTGCTGTGGGCATTATCAGTGGAGTGTCATGTGACTCTCCGCTCCTGTGTCCTGTTCTCACTGAGTGAAATGCTAACCAGACCCCTTCTGCTCGGACTCTTCATACCGATCGGCTTCCTCTCTGAGACTGAAGCCTTACTACCTAGTCCTCTGCTGCTTTTCCATGCCCCAGCAGTTGCTGGGGAAGTTGTTATTCATTGCTAAGCAGCACTGTGAATATACTTTATTGCAGATTTTTTCCCTATAAGTCAGTCTGAACTCATTTTAGAAAAGACTAATAACAGACACTCAGAAAAAGGTAGTCTATCCTTTGCTGTATCTAAATGGCAGTTTGCATATGCTTCTTCAAAGTAAACTTGTATGTATATTATATACACAAATACAAACCTTGAAGTCACTTGACTTGCAATCACTTGTAATTTTAACGTGTGCATTAATTTTAGCCATCCGAGGACCAAGCAATGACAAGAAACAGTTTATCCCAATAAATCAATTGACTGGTCATCAAGGATGCTTACTTACTAAGTATTACTTACTGACTAGTTTAAGAAAAGACCCCTATTTGAAAAATCTACTTAACAGCAAAACACCCTGTCAGCGAAACCCTGCCCTTGAGAGCACAGCTCTTCCTGTTCAATAGCCCCTGACCTCCGGACCACCTTCCAAAGACACCTGAGGTCATATGAGAAGAGAGGGCGAGAATCAGGACACAGTCCCACCTTTGGGCTTCCTTGAGCCTTCATACCTGTGCTGGTGCTCCTGTAAGACTTGGTAAATGCTGATAAGAAAAGTTTGGTTTTTAAAACTCCCCACAACACAGTCCTTGTAGACGCGGAACTCTGCAGCCGTCACCGCCTCACCCTCAGGAATCTGGGATAAGTTGAACTTGAACTCTTTGTGGTGTCGCTGGCGTGGGGAGAACTCCTTGTCGTACTCCACTATAGGATTAAACAAGAGAGAGTGACAACTATCGTTACTTGACCTGGTGCCATGGGCTCATCTCATGAATGTTCCCCAGTTTTACTTCACAGGTTACCAGTTACCAGAGGTAAATTAATGAGACCAAGGGGCCAAAGAAACACTGGCAGAAACTGCCTGGCAAGTCTCCCTTCTGCCCCAGATGAAGCACAATGTTTGTGTCGCATTCCGTTTAAACACTGTAGTTTCAAGAGTTAACTGAACAGATGATTTGCATGAAATCAAGTTATTTAGAGACTCTTAGCTTCAGGTGTGAGAGCGAGTGAAATATTGAAGAAAAACTCGCCACCCACTACACCTCCCTAAGAGTTGTTGGTCCCCAAAACAATACAGTCACTGCAATTGGTTGCCCACTGGAACAAGATGGTGAGGACTTATTGGTGAATATGGCACAGGCTCTGTCTGCAGAATGCAGAGAACCAAGCGGGAACTGAGATAAAAAGCTTCCTCCCTGCCTGTGCAGTCTCAGAGTGCTGGAAGGTGCTGGGGAGCCTGCTAGGGGAGAACAGTCTTTAATTGTCTTACTCAGCTGTGGCCCCTGACTGCTACACTACCAAATATGCCAAGATAAGATGCACCCGCTGGTGGGATAGTGGCATGGCTGTTATGACAGCAACTTTGAGATCAGACCTGCAGCCTGCTCCACAGGAGGGAACTCACATCTGGTGCTGTAAACCTGGATAAAAACCCTGACTGGGGAGGTCATAGGTCCCAGTGGAAAGCTACTGCTTTTCTTGTTTCCTTCTTCTTCTTCTTTTTTTTTTTTTAAAATACATGTGATGTGCCTGTCAGATTACCTTCTGAATATTTATGTTTATTCCCATAGGTCAGTGCTGATGTCAGCTTTGGGAAGAGAAGCTTCGATTTGTAGTGCACAGTGGGAACTACAGAGACTCGTGTCTGCTCCGAGGTTGATGAATTAATGGCTAGCGAGTGGCCAGCGTAAATGGAACATCTGTGTCCATCACAGCCTCCAAGACTCGGGGGGGGGGGGGAGCATTGAAGAGGAGAGGACGGGATGTAAAAGCCCAAGGATGGGGTGGAATGTTGTAGAACACTGTCTCTTGGGCATGACGTGATTGCGCTCATAGAACTCATAGAATTCATAGCACTGTGATAGCTTGTCTATGACCCATATAAGATTTGTCCTTGTAATGGAAAGGGTAGAGACTTAGCCATGCCTCCCACCCCAGTATCTACAGGCTGTTGACAGTTGCTGGAGGAAGGGGAGACATCTTCTGTGGTCCACCTGTGGTGAGGTGCCTAGCTCCTAAAAATAACCAGTTGCTCATATTCTGATGTAATCAAGAAACCCTAATGGTAGTTCATTGGGTGAAAAAAAAGACATGCAAGTACAGGGGGCCATCTGGAAGGAGGAAGGAGAGAAGTGGGAGCAAAGGTGGACACAAAGATCATGAGGGATTAATGCGATCGGAATATATGAAAGGCCGTCAGGAAATCCATCGTTACGGATAATTTATATATACTAATGCCTTCCTGACCCTGCTAGCCTTTCTTTCCTGTTGCTGTTCTCTCCCTGAGCTAAACGTGGGAGCTGTGACGTGGGTGGAGGACAGATAGTGCATCTCCCCTGTCTTGACGTTGCAACAGTCTCCACATTTTGTAGAACATTAAATGTGTTGTGTGGCCACTCCATACATGTATATAACACATTTTTACTCTCGCCCCACTCTCCCCCTCCCTCCCACCTATGTCAACGCGTCCTAGTCCCTTCTCCCCATTCTTGTCTTTTTGTTTTTGGAGCCACTGAGTTTAGTCAGGGCCACCAGTTTGACCATGGGGTTGGAACTATCCATTGCAGCCAGGTTGTCAATGGACTTCTGCTGAGGAGTCTAGGGTAAAGTCGCATAGAAGATGATTTCTTCCTAATGGAAGCAAGGGCCGAAGACTAAAGGGAGAAGCCCTATATGCCGCGGAGCTGCTGGAGGCCTTTTCAATTTGAAGGCAGATCCCAAGCAAGAGGAAGTGAATGAAGAAAGCAATGTCACTTGCTATGAATGGCTTACATTTAAAAAAAGTTAAACATGGAACACACATGCACACATATGCATGCGCACGCACACGCACGCACACACACGCACACACGCACACACACACACACACACACACACACAATTACCTGGACTCGGTTTCCCTCCTGTGAATGAATTATAAAGGAAATGAAGTATATGAACACTTAAATGACTTTCTGCTATCTGCAGCACACAGATGGACCTGGAAGGCACAGTGCTAAGTGATATAAGCCAGGTAGGTACAGAACCACAAAGACCATTGCCCTCACTCACATGTAGCATCTATGAAAGTCAAAACTCCTAGAAGCAGAGGGGAGAATGGTGGTTGCCTGGGGTCAGGGGAAAGAGTGGAAAGAAATTTGGAGAAAATCAAAGAGAAGGAACAAAAGTTAAATTCTGTATGATGAATATGTTTGACAGATCTGATAGACAACACAGTGACTAATTGCTCTGCCTTGATATGAGACCTGCCAAGCAGAGGAGCTCCTCAGCCACAATGCACATAAGGAGATCTGTGGCACTCTGAGCACAGGTCCCTTTTATTTGTTAGTTATGTCTCAGAAAAGCCAGAAAAGAAAGTATAGGTCAACTTTTTCTTTCTTTGCAGGTAAAGGCAAAATACATGTGCAATTGCTAGTTAATATTTTTTTTGGAGTCAGCTTTCAACTGTCTATATTTATTCCTGTATAAGAGAAATGGTAAAATCAAACCTCCAAAGCACAGAGGCTCTACTTCCGCCAAAACCTGAGCAGAGAGCTCAGGGGGAGGTGACGGTGGGCTTGTTTGCTGGGTTTTTTGAGGCAATCTTGGCATGTAGCCCAGGCTAGCCTGGGATTTACAATAGTATTTCTGATTCTGCCTTCTGAATACTGGAATTGCAGGCATGTACCACCATGCTTTTAGTTTGTTTTACAAAATTTATTTTTATTTTTAGTTATATGTGTGCATGTTTACCTATATGAGAGTATATACAGTTGAATGAAGGTAGCTTCAGAGTCCAGAAGAGAACACTGGATGCCCTAGAGCTGGAGTTACAGGCTTCTGTGAGCTGCCCAGCACGGATGCTAGGAACCTGACTCAGGTCCTCTGGAAGAGCAGCAAGGGGCCCTTACATGATGAGCTGGCTCTCCAGCCTCTTCAATTTTTATTCATTCATTCATTCATTCATTCATTCATTCATTTTTTTGGACAGGTGCAGTGAACTTTATTGATGGTACTCAAGAGAGCAGGGCTCCCTAAGCCCCTTCATTCTGGGGGTCTGGGATGGAAACTGTGAGGGAGATTAGTGTCGGGGGTTGTTGGACAGGGACTGCTCAGCAGCAATCCCAAGTAAACTTCAAGAACAATTTATCTTTTATGGGGCAACTTTTGTAGGGAGTTATGGGGGGAAACCCCCAAAAACTATTTGCCACCTCTAACTTCCCATTTCCTTCCAATGTGTTGTTTTCTATCATCGCCAGTGAAAATCTTTGGAGATTTGGCATCTTCATACAAAACAACAACAAAGAACAACAAAAACAACCTAGCCTAATAACTCTCTGGAAGAACCTAAGTCCCCAGCGGTACCCCTGAAACTGAGGAGAAGTTAGATTATCTGTAACCACAAAGTTTTCAATAAAGATTTTCCAAAACTGCCATGTAGTTATGTGATCAATCTTCTATATTTGAGCTATTTGTTTCCTTTTTTAATTCACAAAAACTGTTAAAGATTTTATTTACTTTTTTTAATGTGTATGAATGCTTTGCCTGCATGCATGCACATGTACCCTGAACATGCCTGGTGTTCTCAGAGGGTACAAGAGGGAGTGAGATTCCCTACAACCATGGTACAGACACGTATGCAGGCAAAACACCCAGACATTTAAAAATAATTTTAAAAAATCAAATTAAACATCTACTGGTGGGAAGACTTGGAAATGACACGGACCATCTATAAGAGAGTTTGAGGCATTACAGATGGTTATGAGCCATCATGTGAATGCTGGGAACTGAACCTAGATCCTCTTCCAGAGCAGCAAGTGGCCTCAACAGCCTCATTCCCCTCCCCCCTTTTCAATTTCTTTAGGAAAAAGCTTTGGCTTTGCTAAGAGTCAAATGAGGTCTGAGCAAAAAGTGGCTGGCTGATGGCGTGTCCCCAGCACAATGGCTGGTTTGCTTGTCAGTGACTGAGAATAAAAAGCAAGATTGTTGAAGGGTTCACCCAAGGACGGCCACACAGAAGGTGGGTCACCTTTCCCTAAAACTGATCCACCTTCTAAATTTGATACGGTATTGTTGTCACTTAAAAAGGAATCAAATCTGATTTCTCAAAGAGATTTTCTTAAAACGTTCCACATCCTTTCTGTAGGACCTTTAGGATACTTAGCTTTAATGTAGCTAAATGAAAATGGGTTTCTTAAAGGTTCCTTAAAGAGTATTATGCATAAAAACTCTCCAGAGAATTCCTCCCATCTCTTGCTAGAAATGGAAAACAACGATGTACATCAAATGAAATGCATGAAAATAAGATATTTCAGTTGCAAGAAGTAGAGGGACAGACACAATTTCAACAAACGGGAAATGTGGCAATCGGTCCTTGCAGAGGACCACCACTCCCAATAAGCTACTCCTAGCTAAATTAGTAACCAGCTTCTGGCTGTGGACTCTGGCACTTGTGAAGCTGAACAATTCCTATGCTGCTGTAGGCTCTGAGCTTCCTCACATGCCTGATGGAGGAAAGACAGCTACAGTGTAAGAGGTCTCATACCCTGAAACCTCCCTGTTAGGAGGAAGTCCAGACCAGGGCAGAAGTACATGGAGGTGTGGGGAGGGAAGAGAGGAGTAGAGATGGAGAAAAAAGAATAAGAATAACTGTCTATCATGTCACTTTAAGTTGTTTTTAGTATTGAGGTTTCTTTAAATATGTATTTATTTGGAAAGGCTACCTT